GAAGGCATAATAAATTTTTCAGGTTTTATTTATTCCAAAATTTCAATCATTTTATAAAGTGTAACATGAATACGGAGTGGTATTTCTTAAAGCGTATTCGACAAAGATATGCCATCCTTAGGCAAATATCCCTTTTCTGCTCTGCCTTAATGATTAAACAATGATAACAACTGAATAGCAGTTTTAAAAGGACTGCAGATATGCTTGTGCACACACAAAAAAGGTACATCATATGTTGCGATGCAAGTGTTACCAATCATGTCAAAAATCTTCAGCTGCTCTGTACTAATATTGCAGAAGAACGAAACAAATTTAGAAAATTGCAAACTTGAGTGAGAGAACAGAACTAAAAGGTTGTCCTATAACAACAACAGAAAAGACATGTTGAGCATTGAGTAGTTAAGGTGTTTGCTTGAAAAAAAGCAAGAAATAAGATTCATATAATTGACGAAAAAAAAAACCATATTCCACATATTTAGAGGAAAAAAGCCCGGTATTTTCCCTTTAAATCCAACATATTATAGGAAGATGGGGGGGGGGAGCCAAAATTAAGTGATTTAAAATTTATGACACATATGGGTAGGCACAAGATAAATTTTGTGGAAATTGATTTAAAACAGAAATTCGACTATACTTTTAAGTAGTTATTAACAAAATAAAATTGCGAAATTAAGAAAATCTTACAACTGATACTGTGTTGCAAATTATATTAAATTCGATTTAATCCAATTTTTTCCCCGTGTTTTAAACTTCTCCATACTGAAATTAATATATTAAAATTTTGAATTAAATGAGAATATATTAAACATTGGGCCAACCAGCAGATGAGTTGCCAAACAATGGTAGTTCAATCCATAGTTTGAGTCCTGGCGAATAGGCCTGTTGCATAGGTGTGTGTGATTTTTCCCATGTATAACAAGTATACGAGCAAGTTTCCCTTAAAAAGTTGACTCGCTCTTGCGCAGAACGGTGCTTTCCTTGTAACCGGGCCTGGACATCTTAGATGTATTCCTCAGGCGATGAAGGCACATCCGTAGGGCGATCAAATAACCGGTCACAAGGCAGACGAAGGTCTCGGCCAAAGAGCATCTGGGATGGAGAATAGTCGGTAGTCTGGTGTTCCTCTTCGACCCTAATATGATTTCGGCAGCTTTCTGAGTAGGGTCTTTCAAATGCGATGTCGGCGTTTCCAGGTGATGATCCTTTTCGAGGATGGATAGAACCTCAGATGCTGAGAACAGCTTGTTGTTTTTGAAGTCTAAGGAAAAATTGTATTTCCTTAAAAAGTCCAATCCAAGTAAGTATGCATGGATCTGTAATATCTGCCACATATGCCGTGTGATGGTAGGCGGCACTTCCAAATGTGATGTTCACGTTTAACTTCTCAGCTATGTCTATCTTATCACCGGATGCAGTCTGAAGGGTAACACAGGATGGCGTCCAAATAAGTTTTATCTTTAAACCGTTGAGCTAAATCCTTCCGAATGATGGTAACATTAGATCCTGTGTCCATGATCATATTGCAAGGATTTCCATCGATATGCCCACTGATGGATAGTCCGTTACTGTTGCCACTCACTGTAGAAATCTTGAGTGCTTTGAAAACAAGGTTTTTCATTATCTGGTAACCTCCGTTCCTCGATATGGTCCCTAATTTGTTTCCTGCGTCGTTGCTGGGAAATGGTCTTATTTTCCATACCTCGAGGTGTTCTGCAGGTTTTTCGTACATGGCCTTCAGCTCCGCAGTTCCAGCAATTTTTGGTTTCCTGTCACTCCTTTTCCATCTCATGGTGTTTAATTGCCTGTTCAACTCGTCGGTCTTATTTTCTGTTCTACAGTTCCTTCATATGTGGCCTTCAACACAGCATTTCCAACACTTTAGAGCCAGTTTCTTCTCCTTCCTTTTCTGTATCAAAGCATCAACTTGTTTCATTAAATCATCTTAACGAGCCATCAATTGATCCACTGGTTCATGGACTCGCACAGCTCTGACTGGGTAGCAATCTCTACGGGTTGCTTGCTGAGCTGCCTCAAATTTCAAGGCGTACAACAGACCACCTTTTAAATCTTTGACATCCGTCATTCACAGAGCTTTCTGTATTTCAGGATCCCGGAGGCCGTCGATGAAATACTGCAGGGACAGGATTTCCATCGTTTCTCTCGGGCATTCTATAAAAGCGAGGTGGGACAGCCTTTCAACATCTGTGGAGAGTTCCTGCAGTGATTCGGTGGGTTTCTGTTGGCGGGATTTTAATTGATGTAATTATTGTAATCTTTCAAACATTTCTCCCCATAGTGCAGCTCCAATGCGCAGGACAGAGATTCGAAATCTAGCTTTTGGTTTTCTGGGAGAGTTTGAAGAATATCTGCTGCGTCTGCTCTCAGAGAAGCGGCGAGATGACAGGCCTTATTTTGAAAATCCCATCCATTTGCTTCCATTGGACGATAGATTCTTTTTCTTCAATTTGTTGTTCAATTCGATGTTGGATGGCCGAAACTCTTTCTTGAATTTTTCCAACTTTATTTTCAACAGTGTCTATTCGGCCTTCCATAGCCTCAAATTTGTTTTCTATTATGAAAGTAATTTCTTTTTTCATTTCTTCTTGACCTGCTTGAATGGCCTTCATCTCTTCCTTAACGGATTCTTGGCCCAATTTAATCTCCTCTTTCATTTCTTCTTTAAACGAGGCAAAGACTGATATCAACTGCCTTAATTGTTCTTCCATCACTCTTGTTATTGGCATTCAAATCCCATTCCTGACACCAAAAATTGTTGCATGCGTATGGGTTCGTTATAAATTGAATGCACAAGTCGGATGAAAAATGAGCAAAATTTATTATTATCACAACAAATAAAACAAAATGCTTAAATTTCCTCAAATATTCGCACTGTATTACAATATCTCATATAGTTGTTTGTTAACTACTCAAACGTTCAACAGAACTTAATTCAAAACAGCTAAAGAAAGCTAATCCGCGAATTCGCTACAGTTAACAAGAAGCAGTTTTCTAAACAAACTCTTAAAACAACAACTAACTGAATTGAGAGGTTTTCCTCCTTTTTTATAAGCTTTTTAAATCACGTGCGAGATTGTCCTAGCAATTTCTCGAAATCAAAAAGAGATATTTATTTATTAAATGTTAAAAATGCACTTGCTCTTGCATTTTTAATTTTCCGGCTTAACTTTCCTTTAATATACGTCACACGCTGCACTACATGGGGAATAAAACCATTTAATTTATAATTCTACTAATAGCTATTTAAATACCAAATCCGTAACAATATTTGCCATCTTTAGAAAACAAATATGACATTGGTTAATTTATCTAGCTTATCAAATATTTGCAGGAAGATGTTTTAGAACAATGCTTGCAATGAATTAGGAAAAAAGCTATTTCTGTATGGAACGTTGAAACACTACTTTGAGCATGCTATCTTCGAAACAATTAGTGACAAAATGGTTGAAATACCATTAAATATCAATCTGGAAAATGCAAAAGAATTAGTCTAACATGAAGGTGAACTGATTGATGGTAATTTTATAGATTTCCAAAATGAAATAGTTATAGAAGAAGAAAGGAATAAAGAGGAAGATGAAAAACCATAACACAATTTACTGTAAAAGGATTATATGAAGCATTTTAAAAATTAAATCAAGGATTTCAGTTTCTTGAGAATATGGATCAAAAGACTTATTATCCATTGTTTTTATTCACTTACTAAATTGATGCACAATTTTTTAACTATAGACAGAAGACTTAACATTTTATATTATCTACAACTACAAGAAATCATGCTCGAGGATACTCAATTTTACTTAGCAGGAACTCTTGCTCGTTATTCATGGCACACTCTCTTTTTTTCATAAAAGATCTGAGCAGAGAGGTGTGTGTGTAATTCTCTTTTATGCAGTTATGCCCGAACACTTATCATTTCACTAAAATTTAATGATAAAGAATAATGAGATGTTATCTTTAAAGACACAGAGAAAAAAATCAAACAGAAACATTAATGAATTTTCTCATTATTCCTGGTTGTAATAAGTTAACCAAAGCAGCAGCAATTATGCACCTCGTGTTTTGAAATTAAAGATGGTTAAATAAATACTTTTTGGGATTTAATAACCATCAAACGAATGTACTTGAAATACAATGACATATTCAATTATGTTTACGGTTAACAAAACTCTTAAGGAATTTTTCATGTTTTATGAAATGGAGATTTCAATCACTTTTTATTAACACATTTTTTTTAAGCAGCAAACAAATTCCTAAACTCAATTATTAATTTCCATTGTGTCAAATTATACTTTTAAGGTATTTTAATCTTTATCTAATACTGAACTAAAATATAAATACTAATTTTTCTAATATTACACTAGTATAAAAATAGTGTAAGAATTGCTACTTTTAAAATCCAGTTACCAGTTTAATACTTTATCAGATAAAATGAGTTTCTTTTTACTCAATTAAAATTTCACCAGCTTTTATTCTTAATCAGAATTTATCATTATTAGGTTATAAGGTATTTCTCCCGCCTTCATCGCGTGCCTTCGTGGTGTGCATGCTAGGCGTGTATTCCAGAAGTTCATGGTTCGATTCCCGGTGAAGATGTCGTTATTTTTTTATCTTGCCTGCTTTAGAACAAAAAAAAAAAAAAAAAAAAAAACCTAATGTCTCTACAGAAGTGACACCCGAACTAAAAAGATGTTGGATGATGATTCTCCACACCCAGGATTTGGCGATAGGGTCCCCTAAATCCCAGTTGCCCTTTAAAAGGGGGATTATATATGGTATTTCTGCCACCTTCTTCATGTGCCTTCGTGGTGTTGTGGTCTACATGCTGGGTGCGTATTCCAGAGGTCCGTGGTTCGAGTCCCAGCGAAGGTGTTGCTAATTTTTCATCTTGCCTGCTTCCAAAAAAATACCTTATGTCTCTACAAGGTTACTAAAAAATAGTATAATACATAGAAAGAAATATATTAGAGAATACAACAATATAGTCAACAATGAAAGCATTTTATTTAACTATGTCATGTCATGTAAAAAACACCTTTAAATTGGCAAAACTATGCAAAATCTGTTACATGTTCACAGCATGAATTTTTTTTTTGGACGAAACAGCAGGGCATGTAAGTTTCATTTTAGAAAATATTGCACATTTAAAAACTTAGCTACAAGTTTAAGACAATCACAATTTGATTTAAAAAAATTAGGAGATCCCAGATACTTATAAATTATGTTTTAAGTTACTCATTTATAAAAAGCATTATTGATAAACTGTAAGATTAAGGCATAAGAACACACACTAACAACTTCATTACTGAACAAAAATCACTGTTGAGATCAAGATAATATATTAAGGATCAAAGTATTAAAAAATACTACTCTATTTATAAACAGATCAAACAATTTATAATACATGGCACTGAACAATGCTGCCAAAGCAAGCATCTTAAAAAACAATTTAACAAAGAAAAATGAAAATTTGAACAAGTGATAAGACCAAAAGTTATATAACTGCAAAAATACATAAATGCACCTCATGCTAAGATGTATGATATGAGATCTAAAATTATGTAAAATTAATATTTTCATATGTCAAAACATTTAGAAAGAAAATTTTAAAATGCTGAATAATAACATATCTTGTAATGTGCGACAACAGCATTTTTAATAAAAAGCATTTGACAACTATTCTTGTATGAAGCAATCACTAATTAGAAAAAGGGCAATTGAAATGCAAATCTTTAAAATGTATTAAGTTTCCTTCATGATAATTACAATTAACAGTTTAAACATGCACTTCTTTAATGCAATCTCCAAAAATTTCAAATGCAAACTATGCATCACAAATTTGTTAATATAGCACCAGAATTATTTAAGGCAATGTGAATGATAAATACAATTGTCTGCATGCAAAAAGACTAGTATAAACTGCTATGACATACTCAAATTTAAGATATTTATTTATAACAATAAATAAGATATAGATTCGAAAAATGTTTCAGGTTTATGGTTAGACAAACATAATGAGAAAATCTTCAGTCTGATTATTTTAGAATTCAACCATGAAATACTGACTTCAAGAGAAAATTGTTTTGTAAAATACTTCCAGCATATTTTATGATACTTTATAATATTTAATTTGCTATACTGTACATTTAAGTCAACTACACAAGTCGTAAAACTGCAGACAAGTGAACAACAATGAGTAAAATCAGTAACAAGTGCTTCTCTGCAATGCAAACCAGAACATTCAATTTACAAAATCTTTACCAACAAGAATTTACATGCGCATTTAAAAAACTATACATGTGCAACATCATAAAATGTTTCAAAACACTATAACTAATCCTGATTATCTGTTTCAACCTGAAATCCACAGTTTCCTTTCTACAAAAGATAAAGCCTTACTAAAAATATAACATCAGTCAATATAAGGCAATATTTTTCTTTTGTGTCCAGTATATGACGGATATTAAGTGTCAATGGAAGCAATAATATACTTTTTCCTTGAAGACTTGTGATGCATAATATGAATACATTACAAAAATAACACTTTCATGGTGAACCATAACCCTGATATTCATCAGGAGGCCTGTTACCATATTTTGCTTTTCTAATTGCAGCAAGTTTTTCACGGGCTACCTCAAGTTCTCTTTCCTTCCTGAGAATTTCTTCACGAGCAACAATTTCTTGTGCAATACCACCAACCATTCTCTTGTTAATGATAAGGCTTCTTTCTTCATCATGCTCAATTGCTTGCTGAGCAGCTCGTACAAGATTGTCTGTTGCCCGCTTCACAGCATTTCCAGCTTGCTATAAAATTTCAAAAATGAAAAAGAATTCATTTATATAAAATTAAAGCAAGGCAACCACAATTAAAACCTATAAGCACTTTTTACAGTTTGCATAATCTTATACGAGAATAAAAAAACAAGTTTAATTTAATACGATGGTTCATAAGATACCGTTTTTAGCTTTTTTGAAATGACATACATAATCTGATCCAGCTTCTTACAGTCACATCAGATATTAAATATAATCAATTATCATAAATTCCTTCTACATAGTTTATGTGGAAGCTACATACTATTAAAATTTAAATCAGATTTGAAAATTTGTAAGACATAAGGCAAATAAATACTTAGTAATGGTATTAAAAAAATGCACTGCTTTTAACCTAGCTTAATTTCAAGTCATATTTTTTGTTTCAGACAGACATAATATTAAATCTTTTGTTATTATGTCAAATATTTTTTAAAATGAAGACTTGAGCTTATTTTAATGAGATAAGAAAGAATATGCATGAAATGCTCCTCCTATTTTGGCACTGCCATCGAACTTGCTACTGGGCAGCTACGAAAAAGCTGGGCAGTCAAACTTGCTACTTGTTTTGCAGAGGATATGAGTCTTTCTTCAGATGCATGACCCTGCACTAAGGAATTGTTCAACAAGATGATGTTCTTTTATATTCTCGAGTAATGGAAACAAATTTTATGGGCTGAATTTTTCCAAATGTTGAATCAACAGTAATGACTGAGCTGTCATTCTATCGGACCAAAATTACTTTGTTTTTCTCTTTATACTGGAAATCATACGTATCCTTACCTTTCTTACAAACATATTTCACCATTTCTAGTGGATACATTTGTATGTGGATTTCTTAAATTGTTCCCATAGCATTAAAACCGTAATTTTTTAGATGAGAGAGAAGATGAAATGATGTAAAAAAGTTATAAAGTTAATAGTATGACTGGCGAGAATTTTAACAACACTGAGCAAATTTATCCCCACATTTCCACCAAGACCAAATTCTTCATTTTCTGATAATTTTAGAGCTGTCGACTTAGCTGAAGCCTTACCTTAAATATCAAAGTGAAACTTGTAATCCATCAGATGACACCAGAGTCCATGTTTTATCTTATAGGTTTCCCTTTTAAAAACATCTTTCCTGAATGTTTACCTTGATAAGGAATCCTTAGCTTGTCAATTCTCAAGTCAAGGCAAAATATACCAAATTGTTGGAATTTTCTATTTAGTTAGTTTAGATATGGTCTCACTTTATATAATTTATCAGAGTTGTCAAATGATTATTGCCATCTATTGCTTCACATTCCTGTACTGCAAAGGTGATATTGATTCTCATACAATACATACATACAATTTATTGTTGTATATAATAAAACAAAATTAATTTGTGCTTTTTGAGAGATTAATTTTATTCACTGAACTATCTCAGTGGTTGAAATGTAAAACAACTGACAGTTGAAACAATGATGGAAAATTGAGTAAAATATTTTTTCACAATCTTTACTTATGAACCAATTAAGTAAGGTCTATACTTATAAATTACTTTAGAAATTCACCAATTTGCAAAATGCTTCAATTTATTTCTAAATAACTACAGCATTACCATATAAATGGAGTTTGCTGATGACTTAGTTTCAGCTGACCCTTTTCGCACAGGGGTGCCCAAATGGTCTTCAAACAAGATTTTCATCATATCACTGTGTATTTTCGGGGCGGCGGCGGCGGGCACCAAAAATGTATTTTGCCCTGGGCACCAGTTATGCTCACTACTCCACTGAGTCAGCTTCAAGAATATAACAATGAGCCTCAATAAATGATATAAGGAGTTAAACACAGTTAAAACACCTGAACACGGCTAAATCCTTTAGTCAATGAAAACTTTCTAAAATTTTCCGATTCAAAAGTTATTGCAAATACTTATTTGCAAAACATCCTAGAGCAGTTTCATGAAAGGGTGGTCTGCAGAACTCAAAGATTTTTCAAATTAAGCTTTTACTTCTGCAACCATCATATATAATAAAGCAAATATTGATGAGAATGTTATACATCCATCTAAAACACATAGTTAACTACTGATATAGATTCTATCCAAAAATAACTTAAAAACTTATTAAAGTTTTCTCCAAAATTTGATTAAATGTAAATATGTGCAACATGAATATATTCAGAAAACATTTATAATGACTATCATATAAGAAAGTTCCCTTTCAGAAAGAAAACAGGATGACTTTAATTCAATATATACAGTAGATCTATTTTTTTATATAAAATTTTAAACTACCTGTAAGCGATGCATAGCTTGTGAATCTGGATCAGCTTTCACTTTACAAGCCACCAAAAGCTGGGCAGTCGAACTTGCTACTTGTTTTGCAGAGGATATGAGTTTTTCTTCAGATGCATGACCCTGCACTAAGGAATTTGCTGCTTCCACTAGACTATGCGTAGCTGCAGCCACAAGTTTGGCCTGAAACCAAAGGAGATGCATTAATGAAATACAAGTTTACAACAATAACAGCGATGATGAAAATTTTTTCACTTATAACTAGTTTTTAATTCTATTCCAGGAAGATCCTTAAAATGTTTAGCACTAATAGTGGGTAAAAGAATAACCCATTAACTGCCAGAACTACAAGGAATGAGTCTTTTCTCATGAAAATAATAACAAATATTAAATTAAGCATTTATAACATAAATTAACATTAAAAATAAAAAAAATACTCTTACCTGAGGAAAAAAGCGAGTATTGTGTTTGCGCAATGTCAGTGGAATAAGACTACGGATGTTTAGTGAGTAGGATTGTACTCGTGCGATGTTTCCTTCGAGTGGAGCGCTGGATTACTTTTTAGCTGTATAACGTTTTATAAATCTACAAATCACTTTACTTGTAATTAATTTAATATTAAAATATATATTATATTTCTTTTACAAATACAGATTATTTCAAAATTTATTTTGAAAAATTCAAGCATGAAAAGCTTCAGTACAATCATGATGTAAAGTTACATTACACACTTTGTATCTATAAACAATCTGGCTATGGCACTCTTTACAACGAAGTCTTTGTTATCATCGGACTTTACGATAAAATGTCTACCATCTCCATGCAATGGTTTTTGAATGCTGAATTTACTAGGTGTTTTTGTTGCTGATCTATTTGTAGCTAATTCTACACTCTCAGTAGGAGTTTGCAAAAGGAATACAATCTTGCGTCTGAAATCTAAAAGAGACTTTTTATTTATAGTAGTAGAAAGTCGTGATATTTAGTAAGCTTAGATAGGTCTCACCTTATATAATTTATCAGTATTGTCAATTTGACTATTGTCAGCTAAATGCAAATTCTGCTTCATATTCCTGTACTGCAAACGTGATTCGAATAGGAACAGAAATGTCCTTATCAAGAGACCAATACATTTCTACTTGAGGTAAAGAATGACATCACGTGAGCAATAATATTCCAATAATTTTTCTCATATAGACTTCAGATGCAATAAATTCTGGGCTATTTTTTTGCTGAGCGTATATATTTGTCTGCTCAATGAGAAGAGAGTAAATGTCTAAACCAAAAAGAAAATCAAAATCTCTCTACTACTTGTATTTTGTCTTTTATAGTTTCTCTTATATATCTTTCTTCATTTCCTTCCTGAGATGTAACTGATGGTTCCTTTTTTATCCATTTCAAGTTTTTAGTTTTCTGCTTTTTAAACTTTTTCGTATGACTACCACTGCTTTTAGAAGGCTGAAACTTACTTCTTTCGTGAATTTCAACTTCCCCAGCAGTATTCATTTGGTAAAATATCATTATCATTATTTAAAACATTGTCATTCCCTTCTTCTTCATCACTAACTTTTGCAATTTCTGGGGGAACAAGAACAATATCAGTTTCATTCTGGTCATTAATAACATTATCATCATCTGTTTCTTCATAAAAAAATCTTTGAAGGGCTTCTTCTAATGTAAGATACATTGTTCCAGGCATTTTTAAAGCCGCCAGAACATAACCAGAATATCGAAAGGAATGAATAAAAAAGGAGATTACCCGTTTCCTGCCGACGTTGCATCAGCGCAACGCCTGTTTTCCCTTCCTTCCCAACACAAATATAAACATCTAATTGACATAATGTTCTGATAAACGGTGACCTTGACTAAAAATAGATCACTCATAAAGATGGCGATTTTTTCCTTACATATTTTCGGCAAAAATACCCGTTCAAAAAAGTTCCATTAAATTTTGCTTAAAGTATTAGATTAATTATATAAACAAAATGATTGTTGAAAGAAAATATTTTTCTACAGAAATAATCTTTATAATATTCCCTACACAAAATCATTCGCTGGTATAAAGTGTCTTAGGTAGTTATATTTATATACGCATTTGTTTTGACTGTTGTGTCAACGCAACACTAGCGGCATAAAGCTCAAGACAGTTTTAATTGAGTTTTGCATAGTATGACCAATAAATAAAGTTCATGGTTAGAAAACAATACTTTTGCTGCTAAAATATAGTCAAAATGTCTAAAAGATTAAATACTGGACTATTTATTTTCTCAATGAGATGAAAAAGAATACACATACATTTAACAATTGACATAACTTTCAAAGCTATTTTACTCAAGTTTTTTCAAGGTTTTTCTTTGGTAATTTTTAAGTGCCAATTTAATACTGAATTCAAGTAATGCAAAATAATTGTAATTACTTCATACATTCTCAAAATGTTTACCATAATTTCCAGAAGAAATGCAGCGGCGTTTACGTGTTTAAAACTTAAATTTTCAGCGAGTGCGGCATTTCTACCCATGCGGCGTTTAGGTGCACTGAAAATAAAATATTTCCTATGATGGTCATTGTACATAGTTTGGATGGCCTTGTCATTGTGCATAGACTGGTGCTGTTCCCACACAAAAGACCACTCAGTTGCTTTTTGCGAACGTTATTTTGTTTACATTCTTTCCCTTGAACGGACCTACATGCCTTATTCACCCTAAACGAGATCTCAGAACAATAACATTCTTTCCCTTGAATGGACCTACATGCCTTATTCACCCTAAACGAGATCTCAGAACAATAACATTCTTCCCCCTTTCAAATCAACATTCTCATCAGTTTGAATAGTCTCTCTCCTCTGTGATTCCATGAATCTTCCAGGACACATCCTCTCCCCACCCCTTCCTTTTCTGCAAATTTTTTCAAAGGCGGACACGACTCCACCTGCCTCGCAATAACGAACTCTGACGTATTTCCCCTTCAGCATGAATGGATTTTTCTTGGCATTCTGCCAAATACAGATCCCATCAGTTTGGGTACAAGTACTTGTTGGATAGTTTTTAAGTAAGAAGGAAGCGGAAAATTTTTGAAAATGTCTCTAAACGGCACAGAAGCTATACATTTCTTACCTTTAATTTATTTTTGAGTTATGGTTTCATTTCATGCATTTTTCTAAACTGGTATGTCATATATCAGGACTTGGGTTGAGTTTTTGAATCTATACGGCCCACGACGATGTCACGCGCAATTTAATCTATTGCGGCGTTTCTGTGTAATTTTAATTTTCTTCCCGCCATTTTTCTCGAGTGCGGCGTTTACACTGATGCAGCCTTTCTTCCGGAAATTATGGTATATATATTTATCTATAATGCCTACACTTAAATTAGAATGCTAAATTACTACCAGTCTGAAAGAAAACAGTGGAAGATCTCTAGATTATAATCATAAGCTTGGAAAATTTTTTTACCATATATTTGAACTTAAAAGGAAGGAAAAAAATCCATATTAAAATAATATATTTAATATCATTTAAAGAAACTTCCAATATGTGTTCTAGAAACTATTTTAACTACATGAAAGATTAAAGACAGCTCCAAAGCTTCTAAAATTTTAATAGTTTTCTCATTACAAGGAATAATATTTATTTGCTAAAAGTAACAGAAATGAACAATATAAAAGAGGAAGACTGTAATTTAGATATGCAGTAAAATTAATTAATTAAATGAAATTAAATAATTTCAACTTTACTTAATTTTTAGTCAAATCAGAATTAGTAACATCCCTTTTATATGCAATATTATAATAGAATATTATTCCATTTCATTCAGAATGCCTTGTGCAAGTTTATAATTCAATGTAACAACTGTGAGCACATTTAAGTTGTATTTCACATTAATGATGCTCCTGTTTTCATGGAATTTCTTGTTTTGACTTTTATTATTATATTATTATAATTAAAAATTAATTATAACAATATAATAATAAAAATTTATAATTAAAAATATGCTTGATATGTCCTTTGAATGTGAAAGATAAAATTTTTATGGCAATTTTGACAAAAAGCAACATGTCTGTGACATATATAGAATTTGTAATGGTTCATTTTAATTATTTATTGTACCATATATGAATGCCTATATTTGACCTTATGTACCAATTATGCCAACTATAAGACTTTTGCAATAAAAAGTCAATTTACTAAGGCAGTGGTCTCAAACTCAAATTACACACAGGCCAAACATGCAGTTTGAAAGCAACTGAACTGGAATTTTTTAACAAAATTATTTTTTTAAAGAAAATAAAATTATTTAACTAAATATTTATAAAAACATACATAAACAGTAATACAGTCAAAAGTCGTTAATCCGGACTCGTCGGGATTTCGACAATTTCGGATTATCGATTTTTCCGGATTATAGATCATCAGTGTAAATCTGATAAAATGGCATAAAGAAATTATAAAATTTTAAAAAAAAAAAAAAAAAAAAAAAAAAAAAAAAAAAAGAGCTTAATATTTATTTGTTTACTTTATTAAACATTTCTTTCAACGTAAGTTGTTTAAATTGCTTCGTTTTTTATGTGATAATACATTCTCTTTAATTCTATAAACATACATAATTTCTTGTTCAGTTACAGTTCGACTGTTCAAGTCCTATAATTGCTGTGTCGAGAATACCGACTAATTTGTCAATCGAAATTTTTTCGTTTTCAATAACCTCTGTCACTTTCTTCGCTATCGGAAGCGAATTATAATGACGAGGCATTCGATTTTAATCATATCAAATATGGAGTATACTGAAATGAAATACTACATTTAGTAAGCAATTATAAGCCAAATAAAATAAGAACATCTGCCCTGAAGATAAGGATAGTGCTGACAGATCAACTTCCAATTCATTGCCGCCTGCTGCAGCATTAAAGATAAACAAAGTTTAGATAAACAAACATTAAAGTTTAGATAAACAAAAGATATGCCTTTATCCATTTTTTGCAGCAATTCCACTTTTTGTTTAATGGACTCCGAAACATACTTTCGCTTTGTAGATCCGTTACATATTAGTAAATATAAATTGGAAATTCTATTTGACATAATCGAAAGTTCAAGCTTACTTTTATAAAATTGCTCTAACAGTCTGCAAAAAATAATAAGCCGGATCCAATTCGAAGATTAAGGAACAACGCAATCTGCAACATCAACTGAACTAGATAATTAGAGCTTAGCTTATACAGTCCGTTATACATTAAACGCGCATTCGTAAACGTATTTTGCGCACGCGCAAATTCGCAGCCGTAAAGGTCTTACGCACATGCGTCAACGCGACGCATGCGCAGAACGTTTGTAGCTTTGAGGTCCGGATTATGGGTGTCCGAATTAACGACTTTTGACTGTAATAGTAATGTGAAGACAATTCAAATATATTTTCTGTCTGAATTCTTAAGGTTGGTATCTGTAAGAAAATTTTATTGTTTACACTTTAAGTAGGTTACTATAAATTAAGAATTCCGACAAGTGAATTATTCTTGGCACAAAGTGAAAAAAAATCTGCGAAGATAAATTTTTGATTTAAATGCATTGGCAGCTAAATATTAAACTTCAGACTCACATTTATTTTAAACAATTTCAATATATACGATTAACCATTAAATAACTTATTTTTAGCTTAATATAATCAAATTATGAAAACTTTCCAACTGGAACAAAAGAATAACTCATGATAACCTATTCTCTTTTTCTTAAAGTTTCTTGATTGCATACAGGAAAAAATACATATCTGTACGCAGATCAGGCCTTTCAAACTAGTTTTGCAAGTTTTCCTTGTGACATATTTTGAATAAAACAGTGAAACTTAAAATATGCAAAAATATACTTTAAATTAAAAAAATTATGTAAGTAGAGTATGTGTGATTTGCATTTGAACAGTTAGAATAACAAGTTATGTTCATTCATAGTGATGAGGGAAGAAGTGGTGACTAGGTGAGGAAATTAAATGTTTAAAGGATGAGCTTAAAATTTGAAGTCTGAGCAACTACAGGGCATTTCAATGCCTGTAAAATAATCATTTGTTGCTCTAAACTATTCAATATAAATTATTTCGGTAAGTATAATTTACAAGGTTTAAAATACAATTAATTTACAAGGTTCATAGGTTTAAAAGCATAATTTGCTGCTAGGAAATTCTGTAAGGTTTCAATAATTTCATGATAAGAACTCTGTAATTCACAATGCTTTGTACTCTTTAACCCTCCGAGTGGCACAGTTTTTGTATCTGTCCTGAAGACCCATATTTAAACAGATTTTATTAGCTAAATTTGTATATTTACTTATTTTAGTCTCTATTTTCATAAACTTATATTCATTAAGATGACATCTCTGTTATTAAATAAAGCAAGAAAGCAAACTATCTTAAATTATAAGCTAATATATACCAAGCGACTAAAAATCTCATGGCTGGATAAAATTTTCCATGGTGCTCAGAGGGTTCATATAAATAAGAAAATCATAAAAAGGAACATTAAATGCTTTATGAAAGAGGATTTTTGATTAGTAATGTTTAATTTTTTTTCCAAAGAAATAATATATGCCTACTTTAATTTACAAAATTTAGAGCCAAATTCTTGTTATGTGAATGCCAACTACACCTATTAGAAATGAAAACTACTGCAGTTGATATTTTTCATAGACTACTAGCCTTTTTGTTTAAATATATATTTGAATGAATTTTCTGCAAGCTCAAATACTACACCTAAGAAAACTTTGAAGACAAGAACCCAAAAAATATCTTACATTTAAGAAATATTTGGTGAATAATAAAAACCTGATACTTCAGCTGTATTAATTTCAAATAATGTTTACATGTAGTAAAGACCATGCAAAAAAATGTTTCATAATAAGACGCTAATCCTATTCTAACCTACTATATTCCTAAATTATTTCAGAAAAATGAGATTACTGATTTCAGAATATATATGGATTTTGGTTGTAATTAACAATCATTTAAAAATTGGCAAAAAAGCGTAATTATTTGAAAATACAGAATACATATCTTCATTTACTTCAATTTTAAAGATGCATAATTATGTAATCTACTTACTGCTGAAATAAGGCCCTCAGACCACTGACCATCATCAGATGTATAAACTGGTTGAGCACCAACCTAATGAAAAAAATTAGAATACTACTATAAAAATATTTAACAGTTATTTCAATTACATGTTACAATACTAATTTGTTTGGAGAATTTATTACAATCATCAATATAATATTGATATAAATTATATTTTGATATGGACTAAAATCTGAAGCATGCCATATATGTTAGAAATATAAAACTTATTACTCTAAAATTCAACCCCATATCATTATTCCTCCACATGCAGAGGAGAAAACTAGACAGGGATATCCCCTTTCCCCCAATTTTATTTCCTCATTTTATTATTCTACATCATATTATATCTATCCAAGTTTGTTGCAAAGCTGGTTAACTTGAATATGGATGCAGTTTAATCGAGGAATTATACATGAGAAAGATTTGTGCGAAAGCTGTTCCAAAAGTTCTATCCAATAACCAAAAACAGTGCTGTAAAGACCTGTATGTGGATATGCTAGAATGCATTAGATATGATCCAAATTTGTTGGAATCTGTTGTAACTTGCGATGAAACATGGATTTTTACCTATGACCTTGAAAGAAAATTCTAATGATTGAGTGAGTTCCCAGAGGTCAGATTTTACTCAGCACTACCAAGTACTAAAAAGACTTTGTGAAAAGATTAGGAAAACAAAGACCCGATTTGTGGATTGATGACTGATTGTTTTACCAGAACAACAAATCTACTCATAAGGCCCTATCTGTCAAGCAGTTTCTGACTAGTAAAAACCTTACTGAGATGGAGCAACCACCTTATTCACCAGATTTGGCTCTGCATGCCTTTTTTTCATTTCCTACAGTTAAATCTAACATAAAGGGAAACCCATTTTACCCCAGTTAGAGATATTCAAGCAAAAACAGAGAGAAAGTGATAACATTACTAAAAACTAATTCAGTAAGTACACTGATTTATTGGAATATTTAATTTTTTTTTGGTCACACCTTATGCGTAAGTCCATCCTTCATCATTGAACTCTAACAAGACCAAGTAATAATTACACTGCCTAAATGTTAAAGCAATTTCTTATTTCAAATGACAGCATTTATTATAGTATTCACATAAAATTAAACAATTTCATAAATTCCAATTAGTCAATAGTCCCTGCATAATTAGACTAAGAACATCTGATCCATGTTTTGTTATATGACAACATTAAATTCCCAGTGCACTATTACCAGTAAATATCTTATATCTTGTACACAAACACTCATACATACACACGCAATAAAGAGTTTTAGATTATTATTGGAAACATCTTACGAATTAGTTCCATCAAAACAGTGACAAAAAAACAAATGTGGAAAATATGTACTTTTAAAATTAAGCACTTTGTACACATCAAAACTATTTCAAAAGCAATATATTCACCTTTGATAAAATTTAAAGTTCTAGTTTTTAACCCACTGGGCATTATGGGTTTATCTGTCACATTTCAAAGTTTCTCAAAATGTCAAGAATAAATGGTATTTTTTCTTGATTAAAATTAAAAAACGGCTCTCTCACTTTGTACCTTGATTCCTTTTCTTCCAATATACATCCAATCTCCAACTTGAAATTGAATACATTAAAAGCTGACATAAATTTGCATGTGTAATGAATACATTAAGCCACCCTTTTATATGGAATTTTCCATCCATAATGCTGAGAGGGGTAAAGTTAAAAAAATTTTAATTTATTTATTTGTAAAATTTGTAAATGCATATAATTTTTCTGAATTTTTTAAAAATCATCTTAGAGGGGGTGGGAAGAAAATAGAAAATACAGAAAAATAATTTATTACAGTAAAGCACAGAACTATCACCCCATGAAGGATGCTTCACTATAGGACTTTCTCAAGTAAAAATATTTATTTTTAACATTAGTAACAATTAGGAAATTAAGAAAATTAATTTTGGATGCTGTAAAACTATGTACATATTTAATGCTGACAGCTAAGTTGCATCTATAGGAAACCATAATAATATTTATGCAACTAACCTGTTCTGTAATTGGGAACCTGTATAAAATTTAGCACATTAACTCCAGATAATCATTCAGAGGCATATTAGAAATTGTCAGGACATGATTTTTAAACAGCATTTGTGTTTAATTTTTAAACCAACTGTTTAATTATGCAGCTAATTTTTTTAACTGATAAAAACAATAAATAAAAAAAAATATGAAAAACCAACAAAAAAGGATTTGAAATTCTCAAATAATGAACAAATGCAAAAAACATCAGTTGTTCTATCACTAAAGCATATATATTAACCAAATCTCTTGTTATCAGAAAATAAACTTTAGTATGTTAAAAAAAGTGATGATTAATAAATTCAAATGTCTTTATTAGAAACAGTTTTCAAAAATGCACGGTTTTTTGCAATTTATTTTTTATTATCTAAAAACTTCAATATTGATATATGAGCACTTTTTTCCTTTGTCCTTTTTCTTTTCATACATTTCTTTGCATCAATTAATTACACTGTTTATCATATGTTAAGCTATAAGCCACTTCAATATTGAGGTCAACTATCATATATCCTCTTACACTGTTTTAACCATTCTAATAGTTTCTTTTTTAATAGTTGTTCAGCTGTTAATTCTTGTGCAAGCATCTAAATTTCCCTTCCATTCTTCATAAGCCTAAATTCATCCATTTTCATAAATATTTCATTATCTAGCTCATTAGCATTTGAAGCATTCTTTCAAGCTGATGGAATCTTTTACTGTCAGTGGCCTTATCTTCTCCAGTGGGAGCTTTCAGAACCCAAAAACAGTGTCCCAAGCATGAGTATATAAATGGAGATCTCCAGAAAAATTTAAATATGTATCATTTCGCAGAACTTAGAAAACTACATAATGCTCACAAAATAAGAATGGGCTACATAAAAGGGTAAAAACCCTCATGTACATATCAAAAAATAATTTTATGTACTAATAAAAATTTCTTTTGTTTAATTAAAATTAATTTTTTTTTTGAAGTTTTCAAACCAGATTGTAGTGAATATCATTCAATCAAAGACAGACTGTGCCAGGTATTGCTGTACTTTATACAAATAACGGCTGTCTGCCAAAAACGTTGTGGATGGAAATGTCATGGAGAAAACAATGCAGAGAAACATCGCTGTAGAAAACATCACAAGACCAAAGAAAGCAAAGAGAAAATATCACAGTTGTAAAACACTGTTACAGAAAATAAAATGGTTAAAAATCTTCTCAGTTTTAAAACAATGTCATAGAAAATTGCAAAAAATAAAGCACCTGTAAATTATCACATTATAACATCGTAGATGTGTATTCAGACTTTAAAAATTTTAAATGCATGTTCACATAATAACTTGTGTGAGAATAAGAATGAGGAATATTTTTATCTGTATATTTCAAAATTTTGAATTCCCTAATAAAATTTTCACTGATAAAGCCAGAAAGCAACTAAGTTAGTTACAAATTCTAAGCCTAAAATTCTATTCACTTCTATACTTTGCATGAAATTTCTACTCATATTTAGCTTTAGAATGCTTAAATTTCCTTCTTGTTTTAAATAAAAAATTTATTAGTAAATTCAAAAGTATGAAATAAAAGGGCAAAAATATTTCTCATTCCTTCTTGCATTCACAAACATTATGCATACATTTAAAGTCTGAAAACACAGGTACACGATGTTATCATCTTGAGATGATTTCTGCATGCTTATTTTTTTACCAAGATATTTTCTACGGTGATGTTTTAAAATTTCAAAGTTTTTGAACTGAATAATTTTTTATTGCAATGTTTTAGAACTCCAATGTTTCAATCTGTAACCACATAGAGAAAAGTTCTAATACAAACTGCATGGTAGTGGGAAAAAAAAGGGTCAAACATACTTTGCCAGCTGCAACAAGCTCACGCTGGGCAGCAGAAGCAGCCTTTACTAATGCAGATGTGGCAGCAGCAATAGATTTGGCAGCTTCCAAAATCATTTCATCAAAGTTCATAGATTCATCTAAATCCTAAAGGAAAATTAAATTTTCTTTTAGATACAAAACATCATTTTAGATACTTCAGATTATTCTAACAGAATTTGAGTTCTGTTGATGATTATTTAGAAATCTTACTTATGATCTACTTATATGGTAATTTCTTGCAAAAGAAAATAAATGAGACATCAAATGGATTGAAATACACTATTTTTACCAGGTCAGGAAATATTTAACAACAACAACAATAACACATGGAAAAAAAAAAACTACCCATATATTAAGTATTACATATATAAGTTATATATTAAGTTACTACTATACTCAGATTTTAAAGCTGTTACCTGTGCTCAGATTATGATGCAGATGGATGAAGTAAGAATTAGTTTGTTATTTTTATTACAATGAAGTAATTACTAAATACAAAAACATTTTAAGTCTTTTAAATTATCTTCTTAATATGCGTTTCATTAAAATCAGAAGTTATTAATCACATATAATTTATTCCAAGATATAAAACATATGATGGAAGAAATTTCATAAACATTTAACAAATCCAAATAAAAATAAATCAAAAGTTATGTTAAAAGCAAATACATTATCATGTTTGAAGGAAAAATTCAAGGCAAATGATGGAAAACAAATTCATCTGTATTTAAAAATACTTGTCTGCATACCATACAAATACTGGAAACCTCCCAGATGATATCTCCAAGTCTATCAGCATATGTCTGATTCTTGGTTGAAATTTTATCAACAACCAAGAATATCAAACATATCTAACAGCCACGGAGTTCTCTATTAAAAGCTGTTACATGAGAAATGCCAACCCTCTTAGAGAAAAAAAAAAAAAAAAAAAAAAGAAGACAATTTTATATATGCAATTTAGTAACTTACGTGACGTTTATTTACTCTTGGTTTAAGGTTTGCAAGTTTTTTAGCAGCTGCATCAATGGAATTGGCAGCACCTAATAGTTCTGTTTCAGCTATAACCATAGGATCTTCTGGATCTTCCCAGTCTGCTCCTAAAGAAAATACATATATAAGTCACCAGAAATAAAAAATACTACTGAATCCTTCATTTTACATCTTATTTACATTATTTTTTAACTAAAAATTTAAGTTATAAAGGCTCAGTTTTGAACAAAATTTCTTTTTAAGAACATGTATATTTAAGACATCTAATAAATATTAAGTCAAGAAAAAAATACAAGCATATATAAATTGTGTTACACACCTGCATAGTCAATTTAAGTTAGATTCAATCAGACATAAAGCATTCATTTACACAAATGCTTTACAAATGAAATTTTGTACTTAATAATTATAGCTGAAATATTATTGCAATTGGATTTATTATACACATAAAAATTGATATAGGCAATGCAATTACAATTTTAATAATCAAATAATATATGCAATGCAACATAAGGCAATGCAATTACAATTTTATACAATCACAATCACTTCACGGTTATAAAGGAGAAAGGAAACATTAACTTTCTCCTACTTCCATAAAGTTAAATACATTTAAATGATAGCACAAGCTTTCTTCTTTCAGGAACACAAATTATTCTTTACAATTAATTTAAATACTGATTTTAATATGAAATCTCTCTGTGCCACATCAAATAAGGAATTATCTCGCTTTAATATTAAAACTTTCACATTGCATGACATATTTTGTTTTCCTTTTAAAATATATGGCATAAATAGAGCCTCACATTGTCATAGAACATTTAAACAAAAATACATAATGGTATTTCTGATGATGGGAATTCACACCATTTCTAGAAATAAGTTAAATTTTGCTTTTTATTACAGTTATTATGCTTCTTTCAAATTTATTGTTTTGAGTTATTAATCAAGGTCTTAAATTTCTACTTGATTCTCAATTTTGTGAATTTTATTTGATTCTGCTGTTAGTTTTATTTTACTTAATGAACTTCAATTTACCTGATATAATTTAAATACTGCCTGTGGCATTTAACAGTGTTCAACTCAGAACACTTATTCAGATCCCTTGAAATTAGAAATAAAGAGACCAAATTTTGGCATGTATTGCACTTATTTAATATTCAAATAGATGTATTACATTTTTTGCTTATTTATTTATTCTTCAAATTTCACTTTGAGTACATGAAATAGACATGAGTATTACTAAAGTAAAACTTAGTTATACACAAAAGGGTTTTTTTTTTTTTTTTTTTAAAGTGGATAACTTTTATTATAGCCTATAAATATATCTACACTAACAAAATTATATACCCTCTCTTTTTAAAAATTTTTATTTATAAGGTAAGTGCTTCATTTTCTGTATTATGCTAATAGTATATAGGCATGGGTATTTTAATATCTCCATTTTTATACAAATGCTTTCAAATTATAAGATAAAGAGCAGATTTATTTTGATTCAAGTTTAAGCTATATTTTTATATGATTAAGGTTAATTTATATATAAAATATTCACAAACCTTTAAGAGCTTCAGCACAAGACACAACATCTGTAACTGACTGAGCAATAGTTCGTGATATAGTAACTAATTGCTGCTTCCCTTCAGAAGTTGGTTTTTGAATTACCTAGAAGATAAATAAAACAGATTCAAGAAATACGCTTATTACAGTTCAATATTTTTTGGATTATATACTAATTATCATTTCAGTAAATACATCCAATAGTCAATTTCAACAAGTAATTTAAATCAGTATTTAAGAAACATAAAAAGCACACGTTATTGACTTTAATGAATATATATTCTTACATGGTGAACCATTTGCAGCAGTTCTCTATAATGCGATGCACAAACACGGCCAGAACCTAAAGTCCTGTATTTTAATTCTTGAGTTTCAGATGAATAAGCAGCAGCCTAGATAGAACAAGAAAAATAATGACACAGTTAACAATTACAATACAGAATGATGTTTTAAATGTTAAATAACTGAAATTTGGAATTACTTCTTAAATACTAATAAAAAGTTAGTACATCAGTAACGCACAATGCAATTTTAATCCAGGTATGATCTGGTATTTAAACTCATGGAATCCTAAGCCCTTATTTATTTATTACTTTTCACCTCCAGTCAACCTATACCCAACCCACATATAAGAGAGAGAATGTTTTTGGTCAAACAAATTCAACAGCAGTCTTCAATGAAATAAGCATAAATTAGGGTTGCCCCAGAATAAGTTTTTACTTCTGTTTATATGTGTGAAATGATTTTTTTTTTTTTTTTTTGGGTCTACGATAAAACTTAAAAATTTTCTAATTTCCATGTATAAGATTTCTGCTTTTATATAAAAAATTCTTTAGATTTTGGATAAAATTGAACAACTGGAAGTGATACTTTACTTGAAACCCATTTTAATTAAAAATATATTATAATAAGATCCAAATTTTTTCAATTTTAGAATTGAAGATTTTTACATCCAGAGGAAAAACGTATATTAGATTTTGGCTAAAATGGATAAACCAGAAGTGATACTTCACTTAAAGCTCTGAACAGATTTTTGCGAAAAAATATTTAATGATTTAATCTGAAATTTAAATTTGGCATTTAAAAACTTTTATATCCATACATGATGCATATACAATCAGAACCGAGGCAACTTATTAGAATTTGACTATATACAATCTTATATTCTTAACAGATCTTATTATTTTTAACAGATTTTTACGTAAAAATACAGAATAACTATCACAAGAATTTTATCTAAAACAAGGCAGCACATATTATGGCTATTTTTATTATATGCAGACATGATATTTAATTTTAGCCAGCCACAGAAAATAATGTATAATGGTCTTTTTACTACTATTTATATTTCTAGCCTTGGCAACAGTAAGTGTTGGAAAGCAATTGCAGACGATTGCTATCAAAAGTTTGATATTTTTAACCATAACTTCTTCGAAACATTTTGACATTTTAGCATGATTCACATTGTTTACAGTAAACTGAAAAATTCTTCTCCGGCAAAAAAAATCGAATTCACTCGTGAACATTTTTTGGAGATTATTTTTCATAAATTTCAATGTGGATTATCAAGACAAGAGTGCTTTGACGAACTTAATTCTTTATACAGCGATAAAGCACCATCCTACAGCCCTGTAAAAACTGGTATAATGAATCCATTCATGGTCGACCTTTGCTTCAGGTCGAATTCCATGAAGGTTGTCCAAAATCAGGCAGAAAATATTGATGCTGTGTGTGAACTGATAAAGCAAGATCGTCATGTGACATAACCATGAGATAGAGGCATCTTTGGGCATTAATATGACAAACATCAATAAGATATCACATGAACATTTGGCTTTAAAAAATATTTGTTTGCGATGGATCCAGCATAATCTGATAAATGTTCAAAAGAAGGCTCATGTCAATTGGTGTAAGGAAATGTGGCAAAAAACGTTCAAGATGCATCAAAGGCTGTGTATAATGTCTACACAGGTAACTTATCATGGATCTAAGCATATGAGCTTGAAACAAAACAGCAGACCACTGTATGGATTTTCCAAGACAAGCCAAATCCAACAAAAGTTGTTCTTGGAAGAAGCATATTGAAGCAAATGGTTGCCAATTTCTTTGGCATTATTGGTCACATGGCAACAATGGCATTACAGCACAGCAGGACGGTCAATCCAAATGGTACATGACCATTTGTTTGCTAGATGTCATTGGAGAAATTGGGGAGGGGGGAGGAACCCAAGAAGAAGAGACGGATCATTCTTCATCATGACAATGCAAGCTCTCATACACCGGCTCAAAAAAAAGGAATTTTTGATGGGCCAAAATAATCAAATTGATGGGTTATCTGCCATACAGCATTTGGCACTCAATGACTTTTTTTATTCCCATACATGTAAAATGTATTATGTAGTCAGCGATTTGTGACAGCCAAAGAAGCATTTGATGCATGTTTTGGAGTTATCTCAATCGAAGTAAAAAAAGTGCTTCAAAAATTGGTTCAAATGCATGCAAAAGTGTATTGATTTTCACGAAGAATATTTGAAAAGCAATAAAACCAACTCTGATCATAAAAATTTGTTTTATCATTATTAGACCAGAAATATAAACAGCAACTCTCGTAGTTTGAGAGACAGGAAAACTTACCATAGGAAAAGATATGAGAAAATGATTTAGCATACTAAAAATATCTTTCACTTTTCTCTTACCAAATATCAATGGTCAAAACACTTTTTTAACCCATTTTTTCAAGATTAGCATGTTCACACCCTGAACAATACAAAGCAAAAGACACATCTTTTCAAAAATTAAAATAAATTTATGTTTAAGAAGAAAGATACTGATTTTGGGGTCATTATTACATTTCAAATTACATTTGTTACTTTAACAATAATTGTTATGCTTATTATATGCATAATCTATCTATCCTTTGAAGAAAAATATTTTTGACTAAATTATCTCATTAGACTACCTTTAATAAATATTTTATGAATAATTTTAATACAATTTTCAATTATTCTTCATGAGAAAAAGACAGTTTGTTTCAAAAACAAAATATAATTCATTTAGAAATGTTTACAAAAATGAAAATAATAATGATTAAAAAATTTTCTCTTTCTAATTTCATCAATGAATACAGACACTGAAAAAGTAACAAATACAACATATAAATATTACATATCTTTTCTTCATATTAATAGCATGCTTAAATAGACAGATTTTTATATCTGTAGTAGACTTTTCAATAAATAGAAAATTTTAATAGCTAAGGTTTTTATTTATTGGATTCATTTTCCTTCTATTACTTCAGTAAAACATAGTTTCATAATAACTTACAAAGAAAAAAGTTCCAACACTTACCTTAGCAACCATAAGCAAATCAAAAATAGCTTTTCGTCCCATATTTGCAGCAACAATGATGTCGTCTTGCTTACAGCTGTTACCAGCAGCCACTGCTTTAGCAGTAGCAAGAGTAACAGGTTTAGTGGCTCTAACCAGATCTTCAGCTGTAGCAGAACGCATTGGAGGATCAGAAGAATCATACGCCTGAAAATTGATTATATGATTTTCATCAAAAATAAAAGAATATTTTCATATTTAAAGCATAGAAGAAAATTCTAGAAAATAAAAAAAATTACCAAATATGTTACTAATAAAAGTTAAATTCTTTATTTAAAAATATATGAACGATTTTTTTATGATCTGACAGCTCAAAAGAACATTGCAGTATAATTTTTAAATCTTGAATTCATAATATTTAGCATTGTCAACAGATAACATACTGCAATCAATCATTAGATAGGCAATTAATACAGACTTTTATGTCTGAAAAAAAGTTTACTTAATGATACTTGCATAAAGCTGAATATAATTAAAGCAAGTAACACAAAATATTTCACTGAATGAAAAATTAATAGTACATGCAAAGCTTTTCTGTACGGCTGAAAATAATTTTTGTGGTTAACAGTTATTTAAAATTTTCTTTATCACCATTCTGAACATAATTAGTAGTTAAAATTTGAAATTTCGAAAATCGGTAATGAACATACTCTGATCATTTCCTGACCTAAAAAGCATTACCTTACTTTACATTACATGACGTTCACTATGAACAGACGTTCACTACCATCATTGAAAGAAAATCTAATTTAAAAAGGACACACTGGCATACAGTTATGTATTTAGAGAGGAAAAGCTTCACATTTTTGTCGTAGTGGAAAGTAAATAATCATTCATACAATGCTTATACTTTGGAAGGTCAGTGGAGTGTGCTATTAAATAATTTTATATTTCCTATAAATGTAAATGTCAAAAACATACTCTTATTTCTTGTCCAATAGCTTCAATAGTTGACTCAAGAGCTCTGGTGCCTCGTGAATGCTCATCTTCAACAGATTTCACAGTTTTCAGAAGAGAAGTAACATTAGTGACCATTACCTAAAATAAATGTATGGAGAATCATCAGAATTATGCATTTACATATTTTAAAATGTTAAATAATGCTAACTTTAAAATATGAAAGATGATTAAATTATGCAAACAATGATAAAAATAAAGAGCAAAAAGAATTTTTTTATTTACTTTGAAGCTAAAAATGAACACAGATACACATTAATGCATAAAAAAAAAAAAAAAAAAAAAAAAAAAAAAAAAAAAAAAAAAAACCTCGTTAAAGATAAATATTGTGAATCAATTAAAGAAATGTTTTAGAAATTTATATTAAATTATTTTATCAAATTAATTCTTCTGTAAGTTACAAAAAAGTTCATTAAAATTCTATATTACAAAAGGTGAAAAAAATACTAAAATTGGCGATAGAAGAACTATATCCTGGACGTAAGAATTAACATTAGAATAAAATAATCATGGAAAAAAAGCATACACTGGAGTGATTTATGATTTTATTTTAATATTCTGTCATCTACAAGATATACCACCACAGAAATTACATCATCTAATGATACCATGACACTTTCTTCTTTAAATTACTATACATTATCACAATAACACAGCTTATAATACTGATCAAAATGTCATACATCGTAATAGTGCAAATAAAATGCCCCATGAGATTATTAAATTCTGTTACAGTAGCAAAACACCAGCCCAGGAGTCATTTTAAATAATAAAGATTTGTTTCACTAAATTCACTAATGAATAAATGTTTAAATGCATAAGGTTCAAACATGGGATGCCCAAAAATTACCAATGCATTTCGGCAAAACTAAGAGGAGGGGGAGATTAACATATCTGATCATTATTTTTATATATATATATATATATATATATTTTTACTGAACTTTCTTTTCAGGAATAAACTATACTTTGATCTGGAGCAAAAGATGCCAAAAAATTTTCCTACAATACTGTATACACACAAATGTTTATAAAAATTAGAACATTTCAATGACAAAATAGTTCAGATATTTTTAAAATCAATTTTTCTTATATTTCAACTAGGATGACGTCTTAGTCCACATTACAAGAGAATGCTGATAAGTAATAGATCACAGACACTAAATCTCAAAACAAATTTTACAAAATTTGATGTTTTATCTACAATAGAATCAGATTCACTTGAATGCATAACACTATTTTTACTAGTTCAATTTTCAATGATTATTAACAAATTGTCCATATTTATTTCATAATTTTCAAATAACTGCAAAACTTATATAGAAAATTTCAATAGAATTAATAAGCTATTATTAAGTTTAAGAAACATAAAAGCAGTGTATGAAGGAAAGTCGACACAAATATGAAATCTGATACTACAATCAAATCCCGGTATAATAAAGTTCATGATAGCGGGGCTTGATTGCAATTAAAGATGTCCAGAACTAATATATATATTTACAGGGAATAGAACTTTTTTTCAGCAAAATGTATAACTACTAAAATTTTATCACACATACATCTATGTTAATATATTTTTGCAAACAAATATAAATCAGAGCTTATGAATAATAGTTGTTTGTATTTTATTGAGGCTAGATTACAAATGAATTTAATTAGCAGCATAAAAATCAAAATGCTCTAACTCCACATTTACTTATTAGTAATAAAATACCACCCTCAGATATTCTCAAAATAAATGAAATTTTGTATTGCACCAAAATACTTTTCTCTTTGGTAATAAAAATATTGCACACCTCCATTAATTTATTTCTGTAAACTTTAACTGATTTTCTATCCATGGTCCACTTTGCTACGAAACAAATTAAAAACCTTCAGATTATGTAGAGATTGTCAATTATTATGAACAGAAGTTCTACTAAGTGAAATATCTAAATGGATGATATGTTTGGATCACATAATACCATTAAATACATTGATTAAATTTCAATAAAACTTTGGAAGGAGCAGTAACAGTAAGTTTACACAATAATAAGAATAATCAGAATAACAATTTGAGATAAAATAGATAACATTTAAAATCTCATTAAGAAATTGAAATAAAATGCTAATATATAATTTTAAAGAAGTTATATGATACAAATTAAGAAGATCTTATAACAATGACAAAGATTTGAAATCATACTTTATAAATCTAAAGGATTTAATTAACTATCACAGTTTAATGTGTACTTTTGAATTTTGTTTGGCCGAATTAAACAGCTTTATAAAGCAAAACCATGTTAAGTTTACACTTTGCATTGATTCTAAATAATTTCTTAGATAAAAGGGGAAATCCTTTAAATACAGATGAAATAAACATCTTTTACATGACATATGTTTTAGGAAAACTAACAGTTTTAAGAAAAAAGTTAACAAAAATATGTTTCAAATTAGATAGCTGAAATTATATCAATGGAAATAAGTTATAAAAACTCATGACTTATTCATCTGACAATGTGATTATTGACTAAATTACATAAGATCAGACAAACAGAGGTTACATCAGATTCTTTTCCAAATAGACATATAGGATTCCAAAAGATAGAAAAATCTTGTATCTGAATCCAGTAGCTAGATTTTTTTCATTGTTAAATGATGGACAAAGAAATATTTTTTGTTTTTATACAAAGTAAAATGAGAGTTTCAAAGAAAAATGCTTTTTGAGTATTTTTTCAAATTAAAATATATAAAATGGGGGGGGGGAAGCATTCAAAAGCATAAAATGGGATTGCTTTAATTTCTGGAAAGAAAAATTTTATTCATGATTTCTGTTCATTGGAGTTTAAGACCGCTTTGAAAAATTATTATTATTATTGGTATTTAAGTTTTCAGAAATCATCACACAATACAAACAATAAGGCAGATGCTAAAAGCAATTTCTTTTGTCTAATACTTCAGCTTTATTTTCAGTTAAACTGCAACATAAAATTAAGCTATGGATTTTTAGGTCTACCAAATTTGTATCTGTATACCAACATAAATTGAATCACGTTTAAAAAGTCTCATTACATGCATTAATACTGTCAGATTTTTAACAAATTATGCACTTATTTAAGTAGTGAACCCACTGGTCCCACACTTAAACAATTAGTAAAAAACAGAAGTTACTATAATGTAAGAATATTACTGGAAAAATACAATAAACACTAGCTGTTCTTTGAAATACACATCAATATACAAGCATATAAGTTCAATATGATATGGCTTTAGGAGGTTACATCACTCGTGCAGTCAGAGGCACTTCCAATGAAAGCAAAAGTCTTGTTTGTAAACACTAAATTGATATGATCAATGAACAATTAAAGGAGTCGTATCAATTTCATCCACAGCTTCAGACTGTTCAGATAGCAAACGAATAAGTTCATCTTCTTGGTCTGATGCAAGCCACTCATCTGATGTGCAACTTTCTCTCATTTGTACCTATATTGAGACAGAGAACAGAGATGTCACCCACCACTGATGTACTCTTTTTTAAATTAATTTTCCTTTCATTCCTTTGAGTTAGCGTGCACCAAAAGCATGCAGCAGAATAAGAACATTTCATCAATCATTATGTGGACATGGACACCAGTTCATTCTTCAGGTTGATAAATTAACAACCTAGTAGGAGTCACATGCCAAACTCAGTGATACACCATCTGTGTTCTCTGCCTTAACATCTAAAACTGCATGCAGGAAAAGCACATTTAAATCATGCTCCAAGAAATGACACAATAAGGAAAAATATTTGAAAGGAAACAACACGAACTAAACAAACACAGAAATATTAATGATTTGTGTTAGAAGGAGGAAAAGTTAAAATTTTCACAAAGAAAATACATCATTTAGCCAAATTTAGAGTTCTCTTTAAATAAGGCAATTAGTCATAAGCATATAAGCAACATATATTTTACGAACAAATGCATACAATTTTCGAAATCTTTTAAAAACTGGGAAAATAATAACCATGTAATAGTGCATCATTTCAGAAATATAAATAATTAAAAAGTCATTAATGACAATTGCAATGACACTTGCTGGGAGAAAAACTATAAATTATTTGTTACATAACAAGTTAAAACACAGTATAACATAACCATGCAATGACACAAAAGAATCATAATATACAGATTTGATGCATAATATTTAACTTGTAGCATTATCTCATAAAATAATTCTACTACTAATATATACATTTTTGATTACATAGTTGAACAAATACATAAAAAAATTAGTAACTGTTATAATATTTAGTCACTGCTTGTTTAAACAATTTTTAATTTTGCATACAGCTGAGAAAGTACAGAAGAAAGCAAAATATGATACATCTGTTCACACAATTTTAAAATACCTTCCTTTGTTTCAACAATTACTGATACTTGAATGCTTTTTCCAACATGAAAAATTTCTTATAGGTCTTATCATACAAAAATGATTCATTAATGAAGATTTTTTTTTTGGTACTACTATTACTACCATGTTTAAAAAATTGCAAGCTGAACCCCCTTTCTTTTGGTCCCTCAGTTTAGAATCAGTGTCACTGATGAGGCTGGTAAAGCAGCTGACACACTCTACTAATGTATTTGAAAGTTAAAAAAAAATATTGCCTTCGGCTGCTACAGATATTTTTTCCATGAATATTGTATGCATTGTTGAGTAACCAAGTTGAACTACCAAGTTCACGTTATTAAGTGGGAGTTTTGATAGTTGTTTTATAATGAGGCACTGTCATTATACTGATAATTTTAAAAGAAAAAGTTCTGTTGTTGAGATGTTAAACCTTGTTGTATAATGGTGATATGGCATTAAGAAAGGAATATCAAAGGAAGCAAAAGACTGAGAAAGCAAATATTGGTATGTTCTAGCAAAAGAACAATTTTCAGCAGTTCAAAATGTGACCAAAATCCCACAATGAAAGTCGTTCTCAAAAATTCGAGAAACAGCACTGTAAGAAATATAAGCCAACAGATTCTGAAATAATTCAAATTAAGATTCATGAAATTGCTCGACAGCACAAAACGAAATATTTCGGTGCAATCTAGCATTAGGTTCATTTCTTTAAATAGTGAAAGTTCTTACTCTGTAGGCAAACTAGAAAAATATGAAGACCAAACTTAAGTAACCCTTCAGAATAAAGTTGAAATACCAACACTGAAAGCAATTATCTTTCACAGCACTGCTTTACCATAAAGAAGAAAGAAAAATGATCTTCTATCTTATCTGACTTCTCTCATCTTCTAAATATAGAACAATGCTAACAAATTATACAGTACAAAGAAAGGAAATGAAAGTTAAAATTCTGTCAACAGAATTTTTTTTTTTTAAAGAACATAGCCAGTATATTTGCATTATTGCTAACGGGTATGAATGCTCTTCATCCATTATGTTCAAATGCAAGACTTAGCTGAAGTCGAAGATTATCAGAGATTAAGTGTAGAAGAAAGTAAAGATATTTAAAGCATAACTTGGTACTTTCTGATTAACCATACCCACAAACTACTCAATAAAAACCTTTTGTTTGGTGACTTTAAGAACTTAAAAGTAGTGTTTTGTACATAAATGATAGTAAAAAGTCACCTGAAAGAAAAGAAATTTTGTGGGAAAAACAAAAAAATATATGGACAGTTTTAACATTTCTACAACCAATGTTGACTCTTCAGCGAAGTGATAATTATACTTAATAGGCGTAAATCTACACACATTCAAAGGTGTGTGGGTCAGCTACTATTGCATGCATACTAAAAAATATTCGAAAACGTAGGAATTCTAAGCAAATACCTGTTAAAAGTTCCCCAATTTCTATTTGAGACTTAAAATGAAAACTAGTTAAAACAAAAATGTCAGAAAAATTCCCATACCTTCGCTGAATCTCTTAAATATATCATGGCTGGATCATGTATGCTCTTGCCAGAAGCAGCTTTTGTAGCTTGTACTAGATCTCCAAGGGCAGTAGCAACATCTTTCACAGCATTGATTAAAAGAACCTACAATGAAATTCAGAATGGAATTTGAATTAGAATTGGAGAACTTGTTGACTTTCAGTAAATACTTAATAATATAATATAAACAGTAGAATTCAGATAATTAGTGACCATAAATACAAGAATCCTGTACAGATTCATGAGGTGTGTATATCACGTAGATAAACATATGACTCCATAATTTACTACCTATCATTTTAAACTAAATACTATTTACAAAATTCAAGAACATCGCAGAACATTGTACTATAGTACCACAGCATGGAAGACAAGGCAAAAGCTTTGAGCACCATATGGGTGACAGTATGACTTTGCTCAGTTTTGCCTCAAATTTTGATGGAAAGTATCCTGGGGAAGATGTATCCGAGGATCTCCCACCCCTTTTTCCCTACCACCAACTTCTCGGGAGGATTTTGGCTCACCACATATTTAGAGTGACCCGATGCCACATAGATAATATACATTTAAAAATATCCATGCTTTCTCCAGGATTTGAACTTTTGCCCTTCAGTGCAGCAGTCAGAGTCACTAACCACTATCCTGGTTGAGCGGCTCTATCATTTATTCTTATTACAAAATCTTTTTCCTTTTTGTGTAAAACAGGAAGGAGGTGGACAAGTACGGAGACATAAATGAAGGGTTAATGCTATCTGTGAACAAAAGTACATAAGAGCAAGTCTGCAATGAGGGATTTACATAACTTGATTTATTATTATGAAATGCAGACTCGACCACTGTAAACTATGATCTATCAGAAAAAAAAGCTGGATTTTTTTTTTTTTTTTTTTTACTGCAACAGTTTCATCCACTGACAAAAATAAAATAACAGAGACTGGCTCTCTTCCTGGATGGAAAACAGAAAGTCTTCTTGCAAAATCAATATTATTAAGACAATGTCCATAAGCTGCATTTGATTTTGAATATAAACAAACAAAATTTTGAATCTCAGAAAATTCAGCATGGCAAATTTTATGAAGATTTTCTTCATATTTCTGTACGAAAATACAATTTTTAATAGAGATTCATTATATATATAACACATTTTGATTACAGAAGAAAATTAATTTTATCGTTGAAGCTGTTTAATGCACTGGCATAGGTGCTCTTTTTTTTTAATCATAAATACGGATTGTGAATTTCTGAAAAATGTTTTGCTTTAGCTTTCATGTGTACATTCCATTACTTTTCAATATTAATTTGGAATTTATATGGCTAATCATGCCATGAAATATTTGTCATCAACATTTCTGATGTTGTATTCTAATACAGTCAAAAGTTGTTAATCCGGACTCGTCGGGACTTCGGCGATTCCGGATTATCGATTTTTCCTGATTATAGATCATCAATTTAAATCTTGTAAGATGTCTTGCAGAAATTCTAAAATTAAAAATATGAAACCGTAATTTATGAAATAAAGAACAATTATGATCTAAAGGGCATCAAAATTTAGAAAAAAAAAAAGCTTAATATTTATTTGTTTACTTTATTAAACATTTCTTTCAATGTAAGTTGTTTAAGTTGCTTCGTTTTACGAGATAATACTTTCTCTTTAATTCTATAAACAGACATAATTTCTTGTTCAATTACAAAGTTCCGCTGTTCAAGTCCCATAATTGCTATGCCGAGAATACTGACTAACTTGTCAATCGAATTTTTTCGTTTTCACTAACCTCTCTGTCACCTTCTTCATGTCTTTATCCATTTTTTGCAGCAATTCTACTTTTTGTTTGATGGACATCCGAACATACTTTCGTTTTGTACGATCTTTTGGGGAGCTCCAGAATCGGAAATTCTATTTGACATAATCGAAAGTTCAAGTTTACTTTTATAAAATTGCTCTTACAGTCAGCAAAAAATAATAAGCCGGATCCAATTCGAAGATTAAGGAACAATGCAATCATCAACATTAACTGAAATAGTTAATTAGATAATTTTAGCTTATACCGTCCATTATACATAAAATGCGCACGCGAAAACGTATTCTGCGCTTGCGGACACACATATGCGCAGTAGTAAAGGTCTTACACGCACGCGTAAATGCCTATGCGCATGTGTGAACGCGGCGCATGCGCAGAAAGTTTTTAGCTTTGAGGTCCAGATTATAGATCATTCCGGATTATGGGTGTCTGAATTAACGACTTTTGACTGTATTAACTAATTTGTTTGTATTTTCCAAACTGAATGAACACATTTACATCCATGACACATTTTTGCATTCACAAAGACTTTTCTCACTTTAAAAATAGAAAACATGAAAAACAAACTAAAGCTAAAAAACAGAGAAATCTTTTAACAAATAAAAAATTTAAATCTTAAGTTTTTTTTTTTTTTTTTTTTTTGTAGTGATATTAATCCAATTGCACGTGTGCAGAATGTAAAGGCAGAACTGGGATAATTATTTAGTGTAGGGAAAAATCTTACTACTAAACAATGCATTCATTTTTGTCTCTTGTTTACAAGGGTAAAAATTATTTTGAAAGTAATTGCACAGCTGGATATAACTTTTTAAAACAAAAATCTTTGGGGCATTTTTTACAAAAGGATACTTTCTAAAAAAATTTCCACATTTCATCTCTCTCCACTATGTTTTTATTTTATACTTGCATTATTTTCTTTGTACGCAGTTATACTTAAAATCTACATGTCCACAAGTCTTCACATGGTCTTTATTTTTTACTTCTAATTATGAAAACTTTATAAAGGATGCAAATATTCATGTTTCAGTATTTTTAAATTAAAAAATATATATATTTGTAAAAGTTACAAAATCTGATTTATTAAACCTTCCTTTGGACCTTTTACCTTGATTCAGGAAGATGTTACACTCATTTATTTATTTATTTTTTTCCAAATTAAGACTTCTGTACAACAAAAATTTACCAAGATATTTAGTTCTAAAACTAGAAATCAAAGGCCATACACAAGTTGAAGACTGAAATATCTGTATATAACTATAAATAAAATATCAGTCATAAAAAAGATGTTCTGATGTTAATAAATGAAGTAACAAATATTTCTTATGCAGATTATTGTGAAAAATATTGACTAATGCACTATTTTTTTAAAAAGGAATCTTATTCACAAAATTTTACAGACTTCATATTCTAGAAAACAGTGATCGGCTTCGGAATTTTCACATGTCCAAACTGTAACATTATTTTTATAAATTAAAAATCAGTTGTTTCTATAATTATTTGATTATGACTAAAATAATACTGCATACGAATATTAATAATGAATTTTTTGTGTTTAAAAACTTATAAATTATTTGTATGGAAATTCTTTTGGCATACCATGTGTAACAAATTATAAATTACAGAATGTCACATTATTAAATCACAAAAGAATCACATTTATTGGCATTTAAAGGGAGGTTAAGATTATTATAAAAAAATACCTTTTGTTTAAAACTGATAAAAACCATACACTAAAAGGAGAAAAATAATTTATTATAGTTTAATTAACACAAAATATTAAATACTTCTCTTTACAAAATTCATCTATTGTTTCATAACATTAATAATGCTCTTGATAAATTTATAAGCATAATGGTTTTTACATTTGACAATGCAATTAACAGATTTTGTTATTAACTTTTATCATTTATGATGTAAATTTGTTGATGAATTTTGTAAAGAGGATTTTTTAACCTCTTGCTCCCATTACATTATATGATAAATAATTTTCTCCTTTTAACTCATTAATAATTTTATCAGTTTTTAAGTTACTGTTCAGAAAGAAGATGAAGAATATGGTTTATAACCTCTGAAAATTTCAAATCTTTACAAAACAGTAGACTCCCGATTATCCGAGGGTGGATTATGCGAGGAGCGGACGATCCGCGCCTGCCGCACAAAGTTTTTTTTTTTTTTTCCTTACAAGCGCAAAGCAAAGAAAATAAAAATGTTCACAAAACTGAGAGAAATGTTAAATTTGCTAAACATTGGCTTATTTATGGCAAAAATATCCCAGGCCTTCTCAGAACCTTCCCCTCTGATGAGTAAGTGATTTCTTACTCACCCTTGCAGTGCCCGCTCCACCGCCCGCTCTCGTTTTAATCTTACTGACACGTCCAGTTCCTCCCACTCGCCATTGTTAGTTTAAGATTGATAGTGTTTGCGCTTTTTGGTTTTGTGTTTTTCGTTACCGATTTAAAATGTCAGTAAAACGAAAGAAGTTTATGTTGACGATTGCGCAAAAACCGGAATTAATTTCCAAAGTAGTAAACGGCGCTACAAGGCAGCAGATGGAATTGGATTACGGAATCGCGGAAAAAACACAGAGTGGTTAGCTCAAGTTCGAAAAAATGGTACTCCTGTAAATGGTCGTATCACTGCAGCGAAGACAAAACACCTTTTTTGAGTTGTTAGGCCTGAAAGGAAATTTTGATGCGTCTTCCGGCTGGTTGACTCATTTTAAGCAGTGATATGGAATTGGAGAAATTGGACTTCGTGGGTAGAAACTTAGTGGTGACCAACAAGCAGCCTACGATTTCCACCATGAATTTGTTTTAAAAGAAGAGCTATCTTTTGAACAAATTTACAATGCCGACGAATCAGGACTTTTGTGGAAATGTCTTCCACTTGCACTTTAGTATGTAAAAGTGAAAGTAAAGCGGCGGGTCATAAAAGCAGCAAGGAAAGGATCACTATCATGTCTTGCAGTAATGCTACCAGTGGACATAAACTTAGACTTGTTGTCATTGAAAAGTAAAAAAAAAAAAAAAAAAAAAAAAAAAAAAAAAGAGAGAGAGAGAGAGATCTTTCAAGGCACAAGGATAAAAAATTTGCCCGTTGATTACTTTAATAATAATAAAAAAAAGGATGGATTAATCGAAACATTTTTCAAGATGGTTCCAAAAATCTTTGTTCTTCAAATGCGTAAACATCTTAAATTGAAAAACCTGCCTGAAAAAGCTGTGCTATTGATCGACAACACACCTTCTCACCTAGCAAAAAGCATGCTAAAGTCTTCTCATGGACAAACTTTTGCAAAGTTTCTCC